CCACAAACAGAGATGCTGTTTCTTCAGATAATCTACTTCTAGATAGGTAAATGGATGTTGCTGTCATAGGCACGGCTGGATAATCCATTACCTTCACACTGCCACCCTTCACATTTGAAGCTCTTAAAAGAAAAGAAAAAAAAGAAAAAGAAAAAACCCACATGCCAACCCTACCTGACTACTGTTAACACTGGGGGAGAATTCTCCTTTTCCCTACTGCAAGACTTATGCAATAATATTTTACACAGTGTATGTAGAGACATTTCTTCTCATGAAAAAGAGATCCTGGTCTTGTAGTGTGCAGCTTTCCCAAGACACCACTTGTCATTAAGTGCATCCCAGTGGGCCCTAACTGCCCTCCCATTTAAGCCTCTGGGATGTGAATCCTAGTCTCAAATACTGTTAGTCCCGAAGCAAGTGCTGAGAGAAGTTCTGAGCAATTCCTAATGGTATTACAATCACACAGACTTCCTCGTCTGTGCTTTGTTGCGTGACCCCCTGCCAATCGTCCGCCGACTGTGCAGTTCTCAACGAAAAATACAATTATCCCAGCATCTGCTGAAGCTAAGCAACAAACCCACTTTTAGCTTTGTGGTGATAAATTGTCCCATCCCATCCCCCTCAATGAGACTAAGAATTATTTCTGTAGCAATAAGCTTCATATGATTTCACCCTAAGTGGTCATAAAGAAAAGCAGAGAAAAAATTCTGCAACTATGACTTGAGACTCTGCATAAGCCATTGTGATAACTGATACACCACTGTCAGATCTGTGCAGCCAAACAGTGCCTTCTTCCTATTATTTGGCCATGCTTTAAAAAATGCATTCGATCAGCTATGACATTTCATTTTTTAAAAAGATGCTATCAACTGACCATCAGAAGCATTCTGTTACAAAAGACTACTAAAACTGCATGGTAGTAGTTAAAGATATCTAGAATATTCCTCTGAAATGTCAAGTATTTCTTTTCATACTAGGTATTTATGTACCTTGACATTATCAGTTCTTCTGAAAATTGGAGAAATACATCCGAAACTATCTTGTTGTATGATTCCAAAAAGGCAAGGTGCATATTTCTTCCTCCTTGCCTCTCAAAAGAGAATATAGCCTTTTCTACAACATCCAGTGATGCAAACTGGTGCAATACAGATCCTCAGTTAGGACACACACATCTTAAAATAAAAATACCTGCAAGTATATTTCAGATCTAAGATACTCAATTATATTGTGTATTTAATTTCTTTTCAAAGTGAACCAACTTCCATGCTATATTGTTTCACCTGTTCTACTGAAATTCTTAAGCCATACGAAGATAATAAAATACGTTTATATATAGAGGTCTCATTCAGTAATTTATTACTATCAGTTTAACAGCTTCTTAGGAGAGAAGCAACTTCTTCCCTGGCATACATGTGCACAATTGGTCAACCAATACTACAATACGCACATTACAACACTGGAACACTGTTGGTGTTATTTAACCTACTGCACTGTAAATGAAGTTTCATCACATCCAATAACACCAAGTTTTCCTACACTTGAACGTTCACTGAACAACTGAATTGGGGGAGAAACATGATAAAGAGAGATTGTATTTTTTAACATATCTGTACTGGCAATCATTATCCCACACCAAAAACTCTAACATCAGATATCTTTTGGGAACGAAGGGGGGGAAGAACTTGAAGATTTCCCCTGCATTTCAGTCTAGAAATTGTTTTTGCGATCAAAATGACACTTTGCGGCTGCCTGCTTCATAATTTAAACTTCAGAGGAAAAAGGGAAAGTAAAGACATCTAAGTTGCAGCTGAATTTAATATGAGTACATAAGTTATACTAGAACAAACTTACAAATTCATGTTTCTATACATCAATGCTGTGACTGCTCAGGATTGATATTCATAGTCCTGTATATTTCTTTGAGAAACAGCAAGGCAGTGTCTTCAGATCCCCTATGAAGAATTTAAAGAAAAACAAAACAAAAAAAGTGTTATTTTGGTATGGTCCACGTTCTAATTCTTGTAAGCCACACTTCATCCCATTCCAGCTCTCTAAAAAGTTTGCACAACCTATTGCCCTATTCCTCATTTTTCAGGAACGTGGCCTTACCACTACCAACTTCTTTTGAGCTACAATTCTTCATCAGTTTTGGATTATTTCTGCTATCAGACCTAGCCTATGCATTTACCTTTTTCTACTGCATTTTTCCCCCACTTTGTCCTCCCTAACTCACTATGGCTGCAACTTGAAATCCCCTTCTCTATCCACTTCTTTGATGTTACTCATTTGGCTTAAATCTCCTCAAATAGTCTATCACTTTTTGTCTGCGATGGGCTCCTGAATGTATTCCACCAGGAATACATTCTACTTGTCAAGGCCTTCTTCCTCTACTTGCTCCACTGCATCTATCAGCGCAGTGTCAAAACTTGGCCTTGCCTGTCCTATCAACAATATTCTAATTCTTCTCTCCTAACTGGCTGGCACTTCCTTGTAAATAGACTATATTAAATATCCATATTCTCCCTCTCTTCCTTACCACTAAAAAGTAAGGAAGTTCCTAAATAATTTAAAGATGAATATAATTCAAGTGCCATGTTTCCAAGTTGGTGTTTTCTCTCCCCTTTTCAAAATTAAAGCTTCAGGCTATCTCAATTTAAATTTAACACGGACAGACGTAATTTTCTTATTTGCCTATAAAGTGTTATTTAAACACAAATAAACAATACCAATATAAAAGAGTAACAACCACTGTAAAAAATAACAAAGTTAAACAGGCAAATTTTAACCAAGTTCCAAAGCTGCAGGGGTTGTTAGATAAGGGTAGCTTCCTGTGCTTTTTAAAAGAGATGACACAGGGAGACAGTAAAGGAGACTTAGATGTGGTCGTCCAAATGTGAGGAACATCATTTACAGAGCACCAGGACAGATTTAAATATGCAAGCTAAGGGACTACAGATATTTTCCACAATCGAGCATAGAGGTATTAACCACATTTCTTGACGATCTCCACTATTAAATGGACAAGCAAACAAGCAAGCAGAAGGATCAACATGGAAGCTCCATTCTCTCTAACATACAGATCATTTCATTTTAGGCTTTCCCCACCACCCCCCTCCAAAAAAAACCAAAACCAAAACAAAAAAACCCCAACCCTCTCATATTTGGGTCATTAACCATCGTGCTTATCTTCCTTACTTGAATGACAAAAAAAGCTACGGGTAGCAAGTTTTTAAAAACCTGGCAATGATCGGCTGCCGCCTTGTGGAAAAGAGCTCCCTGTTCCTTCAATTCTACCCACGAAACGGCACTGCCACCACTGGGTCACCAACTGCTCGGGGAGCCCTGCAAGAGCACAGTGCTCAACAGTGCTGGAACACATCAGCACTGCAGCCTTCATAATCCCTTCTCCAGCAGCTACTGATCTTTAACAATACAAGTGATATTGACTTTAATAAGATCCTTCGGGTAATGCTTTCAATTCCATATTTTAACCTCTGGAAAAATGCCTGCTTCTAAAAATTATTAGCTATTGAAAATCAAAACCTTCAAAAATAGTGTAGAGCGCCGCTTGTCCAGCACCTGCTAACTCAGAACAAGAGACTAGTATTTTGCTTACTGGAAGAGAAAAACAGTCACTCCCCCCGCAAACAGCATTTTGCACAGCTTAGCAACTGACATCCCAGCTTGTCTTTTACAGATAAAGGTGTGCCGTTGTGCTGCCAAATACAGTTTACACATCCTTCGCTCTATCATTCCACATCTTGTGTATTTTCATGTGTGCTTAATTTTATGACAGTAATAAAACACATACAATGACATACCAAAAAAAGAGAGCAACTCATAAGGGCAAATACAATAGGTCAATAGTTACTGCTATTCCTATAAATGGAAATATATCTTTCTCCGTTGGAAACATGTAAGCACTTAAAAAAAAAAAAAAGTAAATCCAAATCCAGATAAGGCAATGGCATACTGCAACTCTGACTCCATGATGACACCAAACTCTGCTTCTTGTTCTACAAATTGTTCTGTATATGAGCAACCACTGTACACAAGTGGTAAATCATAACCATCCAAATTTACAGGAAGATCCACTGTGCCTTTTTTCTTCCTTTTATTTGTTAATCTTTGATAGCAGAGCATCAATACCCAGCAATTTCATTCCAACATGAAGAGGTAATAAAGTTTTACTACATATTGTAGTCTAATACAATTCCTTCATGAATAGTTTTATTTCAAAAACTAGTTGTCAAAATGCTCCTAGAGCTCTCTTTGTTCTGAAAACAATTGTAGCTAAAGGTGTGTGTTTTGAGCGTCAAAGTTCAAGAGACCAGTATGCAATGTCTTTAGTGCAAACAGGACAATAGGTTTACTTTGTGCTAACACAGAATTTTATTTTGAAATGAGATTAGCTAATAGTGACATCTAGGTGTGACACCTTGAGACTGACATTCATGGACAGTCATATATACCGTTTTCCTTAATGCTTGAATCGTCTCAATTACGTAACACTTGAGCATCCAGAGTATAACAAGTTTATTGTTACAGTATGCCTGTGTGGAAAGGCAACATCTTTCCAAACAAGAGGCCATTTCAGAATTAAGTGATGAGGACATCGTATCCAACTTGACAGTCATCTTTTGCAAACATTTCAAAGATTAGAAAGACCCAGAAAACTCAGGTGTCCTAAGTCATATGCATACACATTGACCACTGGAACAACTCCTATTCTGGTAGCTTTATAATTGGTCCTTTTGCAATGTTTAACTTAAATCAGCAGTCGCCTGAAAAACAGACCTGTGTATATAAACCCAGTTATTTTTGTCAAAACGTACTTGAAGTGAAACACTAGGGCATGATTTTTGACAGAGATCACCTGACTTTTCATTATAAAACACTTAAGACAGGAAACATGATTCTAGCTATTATCATACTGGTCACAGGTAAGTAACAGACAATAGGAGTAAGATAAATGGTAGGCATGTCATTACCAACATTTAAAGACACACAGTTATATCAGAAAAGCAGTATTTATAGAATCACAAATATTTCTTCTTACCAGTAGCACAAATGACTCTGTAAAGCAAAAAGGTATTCATTGAAGCTTTCTATGGGTTTTTCTTGTAGAACATAATCAATACGACGTCCTCCATTTAGCATTCCAACCTTCACTAAAAAATCTTCATCTTTTGGAGGGTCTGGACTTTCCGTGATCTTTTCAGCTAAAATTAAAGAGTTTAAGATTTAAACTATTTTCAAGCAAAGCTTGCTTGAGTATAATCAAGATACATCACCCATTTTCCCTGCTACAATTTCCAAGTGCTTGCAATAAGACAATAACAACAGCCTCAATTGACTAGCACGCCACTGCATAATTCAGAAAGGTTACTGGAACTATAGGCTTATTTCTTTCACAACAGTTTAAACAGAGTTTGTTTGAAGAATAGCTCACATAAAGTAGTAGCTGAGCAATTTTAAAAACAAACCCCACCATTTGTACGTAGACAGATCCAGTCATTCCACAAGCAAATAACCTGAAATAATGTATTTTTACATCCCCCTTGCATAGAGTCAATCACTGTCCTCAATTTAAACCAGGAGGAATGTTTTGTCTTTGTAAGTATACACAAAGCCAGCATTACTAAACACCAACAGATAATTCACAACTGGGAAGCCTGCCTTTGGTATCATTAGGGGTAATATTTATATCTGACTTAAGTTTATTTTCCTCAGCAGCATTTTTTTCTGTTAAAGCACATACTGCAATGCTTCTTAGCTCATCCCAAAAACTCAGCAGAGCACTACTGAAGAGAATAAATCTCACAAATAAATATTTATTTGTACTAATTTGCCCTGAGAGGAAAGAAAACACAACTGTTTTAGAAACCTGCCCTTCTAACCGAAAGTTGAAAGGTTATACAAACACAAGCCTAAAATATCCTTCAATAAAAGTTAACTTTTCCGTTCCTAAAAGACAAAAAAATGCAGGAGTAGATCCTACACTTAATACCCCAAATCCACAGAGGCCTCCTTAATAGGGTCAGGAAAATCAACAGCACACAGTTACTAGGATGCTCAAGTTTCTACTAATTTGAGATCGATAAGTTATAAGAAAACCAACAATGTGTCCACATACCTTCTACCACTTGCTTTTCTTCTTCCTCTTTAATTTGGTTAGCTACTTTCTCCAGTTCCGCTTGTAGCTGAGTTGAAGATGTATGAGCACGTGCAAATTCATTAAGGGTCTGCCATGCGCTCTTCAAAGAGCTAATAAAACCCTGTTTCAGGTCAGATCCCATACGAGAGAGAGAGTCTTTCAACTCTATAAATAAATAAATAAATAAATCACCATAGTAGAAGGATTTAAAATTATAAACTAAGACTGGAACGATTAAACCCTGTTCAAAGAACATCCCAATATTAGGAGAAACAGGCCTGCTACATCATGAACATGTTTCCTGCTTCTATATTCCATTTAAAAAGATTAGGTGAAATGTAATTAATACACAATTAATTTCTCATTTTATGGGTCAATGAATTAACACCTACTAGCACAGAAAACAGTCCAACAGCCTGTTGAAGAAAAAGAAAAGTTTTCTTTTTACCTAAATGAAGTCTTTTTCTGCCTTTATGATGTGGAATAAGAACTGGTTTTAAATCCATGTCTTCAATGATCATTGGTTCTAACCTGTAAGCTACTGGATCAAGCTGTTAAGAAACAACACATAGACATTTAGTTATCTTAGAAATTATTCCAATTCTCACATTTCAGTGAAAAAAAAAAAATCCCTATTTATGATTAATAGAGAACTATTTTTTAATTCTGTTCTACTTCAGTTTACAGAAACTCAGTTCATGGCCATTTAGTTTAATCATAAGATTAAGCAGGTTCATTAACTAATTAGGTCTTGCTCTCCTACAGACAGAGATTCTAAGAGAGGAAACACAACAGTAAAAGAGCAGCAAAATTTTCTTGCACTCTGATGTTCTCTACCAACACGTCACTGTTTAATTGTTAAGCGAGATGGGACAGAAGAGGACAAATGTATGCACTGCAAAACCTCTAAGGATTTCTAAATTTCCCAGAATCTAAACTGGAAAGTCAGAAAAGTCCTGTAAACGGCACAGATACAAACATTTTATAAAAATCTACAAGAGTGGCTTGAAATTAATGAAGAAAAAAGAAAAAAAAAAGTTCTTTAAGCTCTGAAAATGAACAGGGAAAATATTATCAAGCCAACCCATGCCTAGAATGCTAGGTATGGAACCTACAGCCAGCTCTACTTCACTTTTGCAGTAAAAGACCACAAATATTTGGAATATATATTTCACTTGGGTCATTTTTTTTAAAAGGGTGTTTTGGGAAATGTGTGTAGGGGAACAGGAGGTGTAATGCTCAGAGGCTAAAACTTAGTATTCCTCATTGTTGTCATCTGCATCAACTAAAATCAAATCTTGAAAGTACTGCTTACTCACGGGATGATAGATATTGAAGAATCCCTTGCAAGTAGGAAGTCTGTAGTTTTCATCAATCTTCTCCACGCCTCTCACAGTAAGGAACACACCAATAGGAGAACCGAGAGCAAAGAAAATATCTGGTTCAAAGTCCAAGGCACTGTAAACCACAGAAACCTACCAGACAGAAATCAGATACATAATCTCTCAGAACTGCCAGCTAGTTAATATAATGCTTAACTAGGAAGGAAAAACAAGTTGTGTATTAAATCAACCACATGTTCACAGTATGTCAGCTTCAGCTGCATTGCCCTCTTCCATACTAATACTATAGTACTAGTACATTTTAATACTATAATATTGAAATGTTTTTCTTAAAAAAAAGTTCAGAAGTACAAAAAATAAAAAAATAGATTTAAAACAGGAAGTCTTCAAGGTTTGGTTTTTAAGTTAAGTTTGAGGTAAAACTTAAACATAACAGCATAAATGGACCAATTTGGGCTACCATGTTAAATGTAAAGCCACAGAACCATTCAATATTATGTCATTCATACAGTTCTGCTTCTGGAACACACCATGTTTACAGCTCACTCACTGCTGAAAGAAAAAAGGGATTGTAGCGACATCCTTGTTATAGTAAGTTTTGCTTTTCAGTAATCTAACCCACCCTCCCAGCCTTCCCTCCCGCCAAAGGGTAAAGTTCTACATAAACATAACTTTTGTACAACAATCAAGGGAAGTAGCACAAAGTCATCAACATTAAAAAAACAAAACCAAGCAAAAGGACAGCATTGTTCCAAATGAATCATTTCAATCTATGTAGTCTCACCTGGCCAGTTCCAACTTCAAAATACTCATAGTCAATGTTCACAGAAGAAACGGATGCACCAACTGGAAGCTTCCTCTTTGAGTGCAGCTGACCAGACTCTGAAGGGGAGACAGAACTAACTGTCTCTTTTGCTTTCTGGGCATCTTCTTGAGTTTGGAGTGTGGCAGCCAGCACTGCTTTCTTTTCTGCTACTGCTTTCTTTTGTTCCTTTTGAGACAAGTTTCAAAACCAGGGAAAAAAAGTTCATTTCACAGTTGACAAAATTCCTTTCATACGTCTGTGATGTTAACAAGTGTGCTAAAGAATAGAAGTTACTCCACAGCAAGGAAGTCAGTTACATTTGTTTAACAACTTCTTATTTCATTCCTGAAAAATGTACTTACCTGCTTGGCTGCTCTATCTTTTACAAAATTAGCTATTTTCTTTCTTGGTCCAAGAGGTATCCCCATTTCCTTCAGGTCATCGACTGTACACATCAGCTAAAAAAAACCCCACACACATCAAAGCATACTTCATAACTTTTCTAGTAACATATATCATTTCTTATTCACCATGACTTATGAATTAGAGAAGACATTTTACGAGGCTACAGAAATTAGGAAAAAATTAAAGAGACATGATACAAAGTGCCCCAAATTAATTGGGAAAAAAAACCTCAAGAAAAAACGAGTCACATAACATTTAGTCTTAGACATTAATTATCTTACCCCTTTGCAATGCTTTCATGCCTCATGGTACACTAAACTCATTTAAAAAACCAAACCAAAACGAAACACAAAAAAACCAAACATAAACCTCCATACCCTGGCAATCCTCATAAGTCAAATGAACATTATTTTACCAGAGACTCCATGTCAATTCGCTCCTTTTCAAATGTGCTTGCATACTCTGACAAACTAAGCATTTCCAGAGTCTTCTGCAAAGTAGGAACATCATCATCTACTTCAGGCTCACAAAAGTCATCACCAGAAGTAGTAATTGAGGAGCCCAAGGAACTGGTATCTTCAGTCGTCTTAAAAAAAGACAAAAAAAACAAACAAAAAAAACCACCAGCACAGAAACAGAATCACATCATCTAACAGTGAAAAGCCAATATGCAGCAAGTAAATACAAGTTTAATTACTTTCTCTTAAAAACATTATTATATAAGCTTTGTAAATTTATGCCCATTTTTAGTAAAGCAGGATACAGATTTTCCACTAATAATAGATCAGCAAAATATGTATTTAAAAATTACTAAGAGAGGCAAAAGGTTTCTTGAGCTTTCCAACACTCAGAAATATTTCCTTTTAATCATCAAACAACTGGTCTCTGTTTCTAGCCTGAACACAGGTAGATTCTTTCCCTCTTACGCATCTCTCCCACCATTCAGATACTGTTAAGACCAAGTCACGTGTCCACAAGGGTCAAAGCTGATGTTCATGATCAAATCCCTTTACTGGCCTACTTGGAATTTGAGAAAGATGCAAATAGCTTGTCCTGAGAATTGACAATATTTACAAAACTGCACATTTCCATTAACATGTTAAAAAGTACTATCAGAACCCACAACTGTGTTTCAGCTAATAAATTCTGAAAACTTAAGAAAAAGTTGCTGAAAGTATCAGATCCATTTTCCTGGGAAGACTAACATGCAAGTTACCTGTTTATCATGAACAGCCACGTCTTTTACAGTCCCATTAACACCAGAGAACGGTCCAGTATTTACTGATGAAGCCAAGTCCTTCTGGTTAGACAATATGTCAAATAGAATTAAGGAACCTGGAAACAGGAATTAAAGTCACCTTGGGAAAAATGTCATATTTTCCTGTCCCTAAATCCTAAGCAAGATTCATATGCAATAGTAATAGCAACTTATAGATTGATCAAAAAAGATGGCTGAATTAAAACTAAAATACCCACATATTAACTTGAACACAATCATTCTCAGCAAAAAGCAAACCTATTTTTTTTCCCCCCATTCGCGCGAAATAGCTTTATATAGTTGCCATGATTAAACTGTCTTTCCTTAACCGTCTTAGACTGCTTGCCAAACTGGAGGAAAAGTACCAGCCCCAACCAGTATGTCATATGTCTTTGTAACACTCTATGTTCCAAAAAATTATCTTACTTTTAATAAGTGGGGGTTCTGAGACACAGAAGTTATCCACCTAACAAGACACCAGATAACCTGTCAACTTTTAAACACAAATTAGACACTAAGTCTTCATGAAGAAAACTAAGGGGGTGGGAGGGCAAAGGGGGAAATGCATGCATCCATGAACCTTCTCTCAAAGCTTTATAAACTTAGCTATTGAGAGCTGTTTGACTTTTAGTCAGCAGTATTCTGAAAGACAGCCATGCCTATCAAGTAATTTTAGCCTTATGCTTAATGAAGGTTCCATTTCCCTTAGCGCAGAAATGCTGGTTTTATCCCAAATCAATACCTTAGATAATTACCTAAACTGTGCCCAGCCACAGAGACTCCTCCTTTGAAGTCTGGGTTGCGACTCATGAAAAGAGCATACAAACGATTCATTTCCATCCCCACTTTATCCACAATCGTCTGACAGTAGGTGGGGCTGTTGTAGAACAGTATGTCAAGGAGTGTTTCATTGGTGAAGTGGCGCAGGCGTCCAATGCTTGGCAAAGTGATTTTTTTTATGTTCCTAGTAACACAAAATCATTAGAAGCATGAATGCCTTTACAGAAATGCTGATAAGAACTTGTTAACTTTTGAAATGACAGGTAGTAGAACTGCAGTGTAAATACTACAGATATGGTCTCTACAGACATTAAAAAAAACCAGAGAGCCTTCTGGCCTTGCAGATTTATACATTAGTGCTATCTGCTGATTGTACATAATTGAGAAAGATACGGCTCCCTTTTTTCTCTCCAGGCTGAAGGGATGTCTGAAATAATCTCTTCGCTGTTCCAACACCGCTCTCATATTAACAGGGAAGTTTTGTGAGCAGATTGGTAGAAGTGGAAGACAAAAAGAACTTGCATATAAGAACTGAAGGTGAAACTGAAGTAACAGGCAACATAATGCTCTCTTTTTGGAGAAAAAGCTTGGCATCACCATCTGCCTGCCTGGAGTTAAGACAGCTGCAGTGGAATTGCTAGAGAACTGAGACTGCCTTAGTTAGCATTGCCTGGTTTGATTAACAGGCAATCAGTGCCTGTTCTGATCAATTCTTTATCAATGAAGAATGAGGATCTTCATTCCTCATGATAATGGAGCGTTCAAATGAGAATAAAAGACTAAGACTCTAGGAAAGCAGTATAACTTGACTGAGCTAGAACAGTCTGGAGAACACCAGCATGCGCTCTAAGTGGTACAGGTTGCTACCCTTGCAATTTCTACTTCCCCATCTTTGAGCAAGAGAAAACAGCTTGAAATGTCAAGCGACAGCAAAGGGATAGGCACCAAGAACTGATTTTAAAATAGACTTTAAAATGCTGTAACTCTCCTACCCAAATATAGATACTTTGTTTCAAATAAAAAAAAAAAAAAAAATATCAGCTTACCTGCCTAATCATAATTCAGGTACTACTCTAGGACTGAACAGAGGGCTCAATGCCTTCTTCAGAAAGAGGACACTGACATCTCCTAGGGTCAGACTCAATGAGACTGCAGGAAGGTACAGGAGAGAAAACTCTCCACTCTAAATTGCACATACCTGTTGCTGGACAATACATCCCCATGCTCACCACCTCATACTTACGATCACTATCTCTACACACTCACTCATCACCATGTATCAACGCATTAGCCACTTTCATGAAAATGCAGTATTGAAAAAATGTGTGTGCGTATACATATCCTGTCACCCAGTGTCATGAAAATAAACAAGAGAAAATATTCCACATGCCTTTCCAGCTTTCCCTATACTCCTCATCAAAATGTTAATTTAAAAAAAAAATAGTGATTCTCTTTTGTAACCTAGTCATACATTTATTCATCTAGCCTAAAGAGCATATTAACTTCTTTTTATCCACTTTACGAAAACTGTTAAGATGCAGCTTGTATGAAGTTCACAACATTGAACAGTACACTCACCTGTCTACACCTGTTGCATCTCCATGCAGAGAGCTATGCCAGTGAACTGGGAGGAATTCCACCCTGCTTATTTTACGTTCCTCTAAGGATTTCTTAAAGTGAGTCTGCAACAACTTCAGAGAAACAGTCCTAAAATCATCAACTGTAAAGAAGAGGAGTAATGAAAATCTGATAGTAGCAGTACTCAAGTAACACACAATTACAAATATTCTTTTCTTTTTTCCCACTCTCCAATTTCAGACATAGTCAAAATACAAATGAAGGAAACTGAACTGGAAAAATCTTTGCAAGTATTAGTCCTCTAACCATAAGAAAATATATTTTTTTTAAAAGTGGATTTTCTAGCAAGCTTCTATTTATCTCACAATGAATACATTTTTACTCCATGACCAGACATGGCCTTCTTAATTCACTCAGTTGTGCTGGAGTGTATTTAAAAAAAAAAAAACAAACAAAAAAAAAAAAAAGAACAAAAAAGCAAACAAAAAAACCACCCCACACAAACACCACCACACACACAAACCACACAAAGCAAACACATATACTCACACCCAAAAAAACCCCACACCCCACACACCCCAAAAGCCAAACCACTCTGCAAGTCTAATATTGAGGACTAATAGTAACAGTTAAAGCTGTAAGTCTGACAAAACACAGGTTCTGCTTTTGGAACATTATCAGGAAAAAATCCTACCAGAAATTGAGCTTCTTAACATTGGAGACTTTTTCTTTTTAAAGACATACTTACCTGATATGAGATATAGAGACCCACATTTAAACAGTTAATACAACTGCTCATTAAACAAGCAAAAACTTACCAAATTCAACAATGCTTCTAAATCTCAAGTCGCATACAGGACCTATGCCATGAACCATAAATACTAGATGGTCAATTTGGGACATTTCTCCTGTAGAAAAAGAAAATAAAAAATTCAGAGTACCAATGTGTACTGCAGTGGTGAAGTTTTGAGTCAAGCAATGTTAAGATATACTTGCTTTATAAAGCCTATTACATAACATGGTTCAGAATATAACACAGCCCACAGGACTCCTTTGATTAAAAAAACCAAAACCAGATAACCTCTTTCAAGCAGCTTACACGAAGGACCAACTTTAATCTTCAGACTCCAGGCACTAATAGTGCATTGCCACTCCACCCACTATTGTCCAACTTTTGCACAGAACCAAACTGAGCTGACTGCTCAAGCTGCAGACTCACGTACAGTAATCACATACCATCAGGAATTTCATCATGGTCATCATCAATTCCACGTTTTACCACCCTCGGTCTTGCCTGACCATCTTGAGTGGTGCCCCATTCATCTGGTGCGGCAGAAGGTTGGAACTGAACTATGACCTGAAAAAAATACATTGTCCAATTATAAACACAAAAAACCTTATGATTCATATTGTTAGTCTGAAAGCATTGCATCGTTTAACACACTTGTTGTTTGATTGCTTTACCTTGCATCTGAGACAACTGTTTTCTTTATTTAGCACATATGCAAAAAAAAAAAAAAAGCCTTAGAAAACCCTAGGGCTATTCCTTGTGGCAGCGACAGCTTCACTAAAATTAGATTCCGAAATAGCACAGATAATTCTCATTAGCTTGAAAAGCAACCAGATTACTTAAACAAAAGTAACCACTCATTGAAGAAGCTGGCCTGCTCAGTGATTCTTAACAATTTTAGCTCCTCAAACAAGCATTTTTCAAGCTCCTCTTTCCTAGACCCCAGTATCCACTCTTCCTTAGCAGATTACTGTTTGTGTAAGGAAACTGAACATTACCCCTATTTACAATTACTCTATCATGAGGGGAAAAGAAAAGAAAAAAAAGAAAAAAAGAAAAAAAGAAGAAAAAAAAAAAAAGAGAGCAGTGCTTTTCAGGGAAGGACAACAACATTCAAAGTAGCCCAGAAATCCTAGGACGTGGGCAATTCAGTAGCATGGCATAAGACTTACCCTGACTCGGTATAGTCTGAACTCATATTTATGACACCAAGTGATTTAAATGCTCCTTCTCTAGGTTTTTACTGGACAGAACTTAACCAGCATTAGTAACTGCTTAAAGTAGGAGCAACTGTGATCCTTTCTGGCCCTTGGCTTATTTTATTTATTTATTAATTACTGCATCTGAGAAAGTGAACAGTTAACAGCATTGGGCAATAAGGCTGAAGTCCATGTTTTAATCACATGAGAGTGTTAGCAGAGTATTTAGAATAACTTTTAAAGTTTTATTTGCTATACTTTGTCATGGCCTAAAAATAGTTGCAGTGGAAGACTTCTCACGGCTTAGATACACAAACTAATTACCTTATAGTTAGATTAATGCTCTTCTCCATGTGAAAGGTCTTAGTTTAAATTACCTTCCATTTCATACAGACTGTCTGAGGCTAAACTAATCCAAATTGCCTCCCATTAGCTGCCAGTTATGCGTAGTCGAAATACTTACCATGCAAACACTTATTTTTCCTAGGTTTCAGAAAGCATTGTCTTTTAATCACGTGACAGCACACTGAAGCAAGCAGGAGTTCAGTGTTCTATAAACTTTATCATCTTTAATGCACACATATCCAAACCAATCAACAAATACGCTTCAAGCAAGGCTAAGACTGCATTCAATTTATGCTTCCACCCATCTGCTCATTCACCCCTAATGAATTTTGTGAGAACAACCAATCACCAAAATCTATTACCTTGGGATTATGCATAACAATTGTCTCCCCATTTGGGAATTCAAGTCGCCGATGCCATTGATTTGTAGTTACAGCCCTTTTATATTCTGCCTGAAACAGTAAACAAGTTACACAAAATCAGTATGCCTTCTCAGACAAACTATTTTTTGGCCTTGTGCAGCATCTGTAATGTTAAGGTTATAATTTACATAACTTTATTTATACAAAAGTGTCACATGAAGCACTACACAAGTTGATTTTAGGTCACAGCGGTACAGGACCTATGCATGAGCAACGTGGCCTTCTAGCCACTCCCCTTTCCAGGATTTGCTTACTTATATTCCAGAAAGTGCGTTCTGGAAATCATTTTAATGAAACGCAAAGAAGTATTTCTAAGGTCATAAATACAAAGAACGTGAAATTTATGTAAAGGTAATACTAACCTCTAGCTTATCACTAAAATCCTCAGTGTAAGGAATAAACCGGCTATCCTTGTCTCCCTTATAAAACCACATGCACCGTCTCACTTCAGAAGGCTCTTCTTCCCAGTAAACAGCTTTTCTCATTCTGTCATAGAGGTATACATCATAGCGTCCCCCATCAGTGCTCAGAACCACACTCTCAGGATCAGGCTGGACTATGGCACAAAAGTCACACTCTGTTACAATATTAACACATAAAATCTCTTTTCTCTCTCACCCCATCCCCAATCACTCCTGTGATGAATATCAAGCTATTAAGACAGATATTTATATTATGGAAGGGAAGCTTCGTAATATCCGACAACCATTGCGTAGCTCCTAAAACACTTCTATATGCTCTGTACACAACCAAAAAAGCTTTGAACAACTCCCAAATATGAATACTTATTCCAGAGCTGACAGAGTTTAACAAAAAGGCAAACCAAGACACAGGTAACTAGGAGCTCTACGTGAAAATGCGATATCCACTAGGGACGTACATCTTAACACTGACAGCATCAAGCAACAGATAATGTAAGTGAATAAATTAAGTGGCACAAAATACATTTTCGAGATATGTATTAATATTACTTATTACTGCCATATCACTCTTCCATACGCGAGTGGCATTACTCTAGTATCTTCCTTCTGTTCATCTCTGAATAAAATACAATTAAGATTTTCATAAGTTACCAGAATTATAGATTTCCTCTAGTTTTGCAGAATCCAGAATGCTGAATGGCATCCATATTTGCTTGTCCTCCACCTCCTTATAGTAGAACCAGTGAGGCTGAACCGGCTCATATTGGTTCTGCAGCAAAACAGGAGGTGCCTGGACCAGTGGACCTGCAGGCCTGGGAGCTCGGAGCTGTGACTGAGACTGTGGAAACTGAAAATACATACAGGTTCATCACCTCAATCTCACATAGTTTTTACAGAACTGATCTATACTTTGCTATAGAGAACACTCTGAGCCTTTATTTCTACCATTTTTCCCCCAAGAACATTATCTTTCATTCTAAAAATGTTATAGACAAGCTGTTCACTTTGTCATGTTTTTGAAAACTTACACCTCTTTAAATTAAGAAAGGATGTGAATTTCATTCCCACAAATACTGTTAAAAACTGTTATGGTCTAGCATCTTGACTACCTAAAACCAGTAATATTTAAAATATTCTCTTAAATTTTCAAAACTCAGGCTGAGCTTACTTCTTATGGCCACCAAATTTGACATGTAAACAAAAACGTATTCTTCTCATTATTCATTTATACATAATTACATTTTTGCACAAAGATTGCAAATTTTAACAAGTGCCAACCTCAGCAGATTTCAAACTCTAATGTAGCCTCAGTGACGCAAGAAAAAAAACTATTTTGAAAGGGACTAGAGCCTACATAAAGCTGATCTCATACAAAATACATTTGTACAAAGATCCCAGTTAGTACAACTAAAAGCAAGTGATGTCAGCAGTAACAACTGCTTTGGTCAATACATTTAAAAAAAAAAACAAACCAATGACGAATATACTGTACAAATATAAAATCAAGCCATCAGAAGTTCTGAAATTCTTTAATCTAAAACTCCGGATTGTTCAGGTTCTACTGTCTTTGCTATGTTTTTTGTCATTATATAATCTTTCTATTCTTTATTCACAACAGCAGCAATATAGCAATAGCTCAGGCAAAATAAAAACAATTTTTGTTGTTTTCAAGGAAAACTTGTCAGGTTATTACTAATCCATTTACATTATTTTAGTAATATCTTTGTGATGGTAAAAAAGAATGGAGATTAATGCTTTACATCACACAAAATCCTCAACCTGGCTTCACCAGCAAAACCCGCTTGAAAAGAGATTTTTAGCCTGTATCTTGCAAATGGCTGAATGACCTCATTTACAGCAGAGGCACAAACAATGCAGCAGCACAGCTGAAATGGCAGCAAACTCAGACAGAAAAGAGCAACAGAACTTCACAACCTGGCTTTGTTTCTGACACCAGAGGCTCATGCAGATACAGCCTCAGGGTACACTCACTTCAAAGATCAGGAAGTTTTCCTAAAGCAACAGTTCCAGGCTAGTTCAAGTGAAAAGATTTTGCTATCAGAAACGCTTCAAGATTTCTTCAGGAGTTTTTTGGGGAAAAAGAAAAATCTTCAGAAGGTAAAATATGCAATTCAAAGAGGAAAGTGACTTAAATGGTTTTGTTGTGGTACCAGGACATCAGGAATTATTCATATACCTGTGTCAATGATCCTGGAGGTGTCTGATACATCTGGACAGGTGGTACAGAGGATGGTGGGTGAGCAGGCGCGTGACTCTGTTGCAGCTGCGGCGGAGTAAGGTATGGGTTAGCTCTGCTGCTCAGGGTGGTGTGCCGATAAGGGTTATACCCCTGCTGAGATGTTCCTTGGGGAAGAGTAGACGCATTTGCAGGCGGGGGACAGCTCTGCTGAGGAGTCTGGTAAGCTGTGATTCCCACCTGTGAAGTAGGTGGTGCACTGTAAGAGGACTGTGACTTGGGAATATGCGGTGAAAAGGCATTTTGCCCATCCTGTGACCCAGACACAAGTGGAAGTGAAGTTGGAGGCCTGGAGAAGGCTGGTGCTCCAACAGGTGGTGCAACAGTTGTTAAGGGTGGCTGCCCAATACTTCCAAATGGATCACTGCTACTAGGGACTTGAGAGAAATAGTTGAAAGTCTGTGGTGGGTTGGGGTTGGCAGAAGTCTGACCCAAGAAGCTGTCCTCTTCACCAACTTCTGCAGAATCATCTGCAAAAACAAAAAGATCACTAGAGATATCGTGAGAGGTTCAAACCAGTTAGTGTATGTAGTCAAAATGTTCTGTAACATTATCAGCTATTTCCAAAACTCTGTTGGCCCCCATAAAGCTAAAAGTATTACAAAGCTTATGCATCCTTGATGATTAAACACACCATAAAATGAAACAAAAGATACAAAGTCTTCAAGAACATTTAAAATGGACCATAAAAGTCACTCAGTGTACACAGATAAAGCAACAAAAATTAAAAATCTGAAACAAGAGCCCAAAATATGACTGAAGTCAGGGCCTTCCCAAGCCAACTTGGCAAAGAACCCTGCTTCCAAGGCACTAAAATCCCTTCCAATTTCCCTTATGCCTACCAAATGCAAGAGCAACCTTGGTTCATTTCCTTTCACCATGAAAACAGTTACCAAGCATGGGACTTTATGCTCTAGTTTTTAGAATTCCAAGATCAAATTCAAAAGTAGAGCTTAAGGACATTCCCAAAGAGACCAAACCTATTGGGGTTAAGCAATCCATTCTCGCCTGCTCCTTCAGCAGTGCCCTCGCAAGGTTTCCCATTTGACTTGCAAGGTGGCCACAACTCATCACTCCAAGTCACTCGATGAGCAAGACTTACTCCGGTTGTCTCTAAAAATCCTACTCTGGCACAAGAGCTAAATCTCTGGTGCTAGAAAAATAAGTCTTCATTCTGCATAATTGCAGGAGAGGGCTTTAAAAGGTACAAGGCCATGACTGCCCTTTTGCATTGAGAAAATATATAAACCAGGTCCTGGTCAATCACAGTTTTCTGCTTTGCAGTGATCTAGGAACAAGTGGGTAGAAAAGTGGTTTGACATTATCATAGGTCTTGCAGTAAACTCAGTTAAACCTGGGATGGTCTGAGCATCACTGTCTGCTGAGGGAAGAGCACCTTGCAAGCAGCCAATGCAATCTGCAGAAGTCATAAGAGTGCTGTCATCTGCTCTGGCAATCAAATAATCCCCAGGCTGTGGGGAAGAAACCACAGAGCTATCATTGCTTCTCTGCTACGCAGTCCCCAGCCAAAGATAGAGACCAAGCATCTCTGCAGCTACAAGCAGCCAATAACAAATGTCTTTATCCGCAGCCAATATAACTGTAATATAGAGTATCAAGGGAGCACAGGGGAATCCACAGTGAAGTCTCCCTAGGAAGCTGCTGTTCTAATTAATTAATCATAAAAGAAGCAGCTGCCATGACTAAAAAGGACTATTTTAACCATCTTTTATTTAGTAGTCTTCTCAGACGGTGTCAGTTTGAGGCAAGCATCACCTACATTTATCAATTTCTGTTACTTTCACCTATAGCTTTTATTCCACTTTGATGAACAAAACCTATGTATGTGAACCATCATGTGAAGAATACTAAAACCATTTATAAGCAATGACCACTATGAAGTCAGGCCTATGGATTATCTCCCAACTACAAGCAGAACAGTCATTTATACTAAATAAAAGGTCTCAACTTCTAAACAATAAAATTCTTCTTCCTTTCATATTTCATAAATATTGTGGAATAGAGAGAAGCATACTGCATACCACACTGTCAATTCCCTGCTTTCCAAAATAACTGGTAGCAGAGCAGGCAATTCATCTCACCACGTCAGATCACGATAAACATGTAGCAATGTGCTGAAGAGTTTTCAAGGCCTTTACCAAATGCCTGTTCACAAAACACTATTCTCCAATTTCAACTAGGGTTGAGAGATTTAGTCTGACTGTATCTTTCCTTGCAAAATGAGGTTGACAAAAGTTCTGCCAAAACAAAAATTATACACAGAATCATAAAGGTTGGAAAAGACCTCTAAGATCATCATTATATTTACACACACACACACACAGAGTTTTCCAACACAGTGCATTACTTTCTACTTGGCCTTTTTCTAATTTTGCAAAAACTATGTTGGAACATAAGCTCAGACTGGCAGAAAAAGAAGCACTTCATACAAATTTAAAAATTTCTTATGAGTGCGCAGCTTTGACATACAAGGGCAGTATTCTTCCCATATACAAAATAGTCTTTCTTCAACAGTGACTGTGTGACAACCTCCTGTATATCCCTCCCTATATAACGTGGTACCTTGTCATTCACAGATTGTCACCTGACAAGCACAAGTAACATTAGTCCACTTCCTCATTGGGAACACTCCTCTCTATCTACAGTAAGTTTATTCGTTCCTTCACCCACACCTGAGCCAGAGAATGTATCTTCTATCTTCAACCTGCAAAGCACAAAACACTTATTACTCACTTTTGGAGATACAACAAATTTATGACTGCACAGAGCTTCCTAACACTGGCTGTCAGATGTCAAGCAATTCCTGAGATCAATTCTTTTTTACATTTTACACAATTTAAACTTCAAACTCAAGAGCTTGTTCCTTTCTGCTTCAAACTATGATTCAAGATACAAACTGCTCTACACAGCCAGATCCCTATGACACCTGGCTGGACAAATGGTGAGTGCAATGGACCACAGAAGTAGAACATTTAACTGGGGGCTGGGGGGGCCTTACTTGAACAGACATGGAATGTGGCACAACCTCTGGCGCTGAAATTCACTCCAGCTGCAAAACTATGAATCTTCATCCGATTAAATTTTAAGTGACATGGAGAGTATATGATTCATCACATTAATGAAATCCCATCAGATTTTCTCCCTGGCTAGCTTCAAAGTCTTCAGGCAATTGCCACATGACAGTCATCTGTGCAAAGCTACTGGCCAGACTAGCACTTAAAAATTACTTTTTTTAAAAAAATGAAAACCAATGTATATTTGCAAGAAATAATCACTATAAGGATTGCACAATGGAAGTAGTAAATATATCAGCTACCTAGATACCTCAGGTAAGTAGGAATAATATTCTAATGCTTTTATCCCTTCCACCCAAAAAAATGTAGTCAATCTAAAAAAATGTTTCAAAGCCATACTTGGCAAACATTTTATTAAATCTACAGAGATGTGCTCCACTGATTTCCAGCTATATTAATACTTATTTTAGCTAAGATACATCAGCATTGAAATCAAGTCTTGGATTTTGGAGTCAACATGTACCAATGCAGTAAAATTTAAAATATCTGATTTCTAGATGCATTTCTACTGTTTAGGGCTTTAATCTCAGACTGAACACATTTCCAGAAAAATCCATTCCTTTATCTGAAACTGTTTGAACATCAGATTTCAAGTTGCACGTGCCTGGAATATTATTAAGGCTTTAGAAGGGAAGGATATTAAAACCACGGTTAAATTAACAAGGAAATTCAAGGTGCCTGCTTAACATGCTATTTTCACTGAGGGAAAATAGAAGATAACATGGAAGTGGAGCTTAAAAAAAGTGAAAACACGAAGTACATCCCTGAACGGAAGTACTGACAACTTCTAATTGCCGAAACAAATCCGCTAATCAATGAACTGAAAACATGATAATCACCCCCTCTCCCTAGACACGGAACTAAACACCAAGTATTAAGCACAGGCAAGAAAGCGGAAGATATACATCTCAAGCAGCTTGTCTTTCCTGAAGCATTAACGCCCGACAGCTGGCAGCGACCACCACATCAGAGAGCTCTATGGAGAGAAGATTAGGGTCTAACCGACACGCAGCGGGCCCAGACGCCGACCAGGCCCGCAGCACCCCT